ATGCCCAGCTGTTGGCAGCTGTTTTGCATGTTTTTAACGTGGGAATAATCTGTCAACACTTGTCAACACACACCTGCATGTTCCAGGCCAGGAAACTGTCACAACTTCTGCTTTTACAGAGATACTCACGCATGCTGATGCTCAGTTAATAAAGTTCATTTGATTAGCTCGCACCTGGCAGGCACCTGGCCTTTTATTTCCTACAGCAGCAGTAACTGTGAAAAACAGCATCGCTGCACTTTTTCTGTTTTCTTGATTAGTTTTTTTAGACCTTGGCTCCTGAGCCCTGGTCTGTAAATACATTTGCAAAGCACACTGACTAGTTAAGAACTTTTTTGGCATATAAACAGCATTTTGTACTACAATCAATATTTGTACAGCAACACTGGATCACATGACTACTCACATGTGAAAGCTCACAGTTCCTTTAAATCTGTGGAGTGTTTAAATGTATTTCTTCTCATTTTTGCTTTCTATCATCAACTTACAGTCTTTCTGTCTGCAGCCAACAACTTTTTAAATAAGTATATTAAGAAGACCAAACAACCTGTTTAAACTTGGGACCGTCTCGTCTCAGCACCCATGGCACTGACTTCTCAGTTGTCCTCACACCTTTGCCGACATAGTGACAGCGCAGTGGTTGTATTTTCAGTGCCTACCTGTGTGGTGGCCCATCTAAAAATGGCCGGCCTTGTGAAGCAGCTAAAAACTCCATCCAGGAGCCGGAAAAAGTCCGACTCAGCCCTGACCAACGGGGAGTTTATGTCCAGGCAGTAACTCATGGCATCGTGGCTTCCTACAGGAACACATTTTAAAAGTAAAGAAACTGGTTTGTGGCGCAAGTTGCTTCAAAAAAATTCTTACTTGCTTGTTTATCTGATAAATGTTGACTTTGTTGTTTACTGTGTCTGTGTGTGATCATGACTGTTTTGTGTAACTGTAACAATCCCAGTCTGAATTGTTGTCCAGTGGTAAAAGAAGATCATTTACCTCAGTGAAAGTAACAATACCAGAGTGTAAAATATGTATGTAAATGTTGTATATGTGAGTGAAAATATAAAAATAATATCAGAGAAATGTAATTAAATTAAAACAAAAAACAATGTTCCCAGTGAGAGGGGAGCCCCAAAGCTCAGGGTGACCAGGTCCAACTTCACACATCGAGTCCAAAGAATAACAAACAACACAAGCAAAACGGCTCAGCTTCACATGAAAATGATTTTTCAAACAGGGTTTGAAGATGTCGATGGTGGTGGTTGGTGAGGTCCACTGTTCAGTGTCGCTACAACAAAGGCCCGATGTCCTCTACACCTTAATCTGTTTCTCAGTAAAGGCCAGAAGCATCCAGCCAGCTGACAGCAATGATCTTTTGGGAGTGTGCATAGTTTAAAAACCAGAAAGGTGAGGCAGGGCTAACCCATCCAGTGACTCAAAAACAAACAATGAAATCTATGACGCGCTGCAGCCAGTGTGAAGTAGCCAAAACAGGGGAAATGTGGTCTGGTTTGCACACAGCCCAAAACAAATCTGTCTGTGAATATGCAGAGTTTTAAACCACAGAGATCTTACACTGCATATAAATAATAAAAACATAAAGTAGTTGTGAAATAAGTTTAGTGGAAGGAAAAGTCTAGTGTTGAAGTACACATGTAAAGTAGAATAAATAGTACTGACATAAAGTATTACCAGGTATTACTTCAATACTAAGTAAACGTATTTAGTGATTTTCCATTGGTAGATAATTGTCACACTGATGCTTTTGATATTTTTGTGTTTAAAGCGCCTTAAAACTTCAGGTGACTGTCACATATTTAAACACAGAAATACGACAATTACACGACTGTTGGCTGCGCTGTGCGTCTATAAATTCACGAGGAATCCTAAAAGTGCGAATGTACCTGGAATGGCCAGGTGTGTGAGAGGAACGTCCCACAGCTCTTCAGGTACGGCTGACATCCAGTCCCGGCAGCTCGCATCCATGTCGCTCAGTCACTCACCGAGTTATTGATCGTAGATCTGTTTCGAGTGATCGATGCGGTTTTAATCTGCGCTGATCTTTAAACAAACAAGCTACATGAGACAGAGGAGGAGGGACTCAGGAAAAGCTTTAATTTCCTGGTTTCCACTGACAGCTCATCATATGTAGATCATTTAGGGACATTTGGAAAAGTCTCCGAAAACTTTCGTAGCAGCGGGTTTCTTTGAAGTCACCACGAGTTCCCCAAACAGGAAGTTTTGAGCGACACGTCATTTTTATATTTGTCGGTCACTGTTTCTAAATCACTGTAGTTCTTTTAATGGTGGACCAAGAGCCGCCCCGCTATTACTTACGGCAGTTCAGCCGGTGGCACAGCAGAGGGCGCTCGGGAGGTAAACTCAATGGCGCTAAACAGCAACAGTTTTCTTGCTTTAACCCTTGTATGGTGTTCGGGTCTGTGAGACCCGTGTTCAGTTTTTTTCAAAAGAAAAATTAAACAATTAATTATTTTTTCACGTGTAAATGTGTTGTGTCTTTCCACTCACTCCACTTGATTATAACTGATTTATTTATAACATTTTATATAAAAGAAAAACGAGAAGCACATTAATTCATAAATGTGATCTAACAAAGGTAAAGGGAAAAAATTAACCATGTTTGCTGTTCATATGGTTTGTAATTGGGATGAAGTAAACATCTGTTGAGTAATTTAACATAAAATTGTTTGATAGTGTTAATTTGGAAAGCCAAAACTCTAGCGGGTCCACCAGACCCATGAACACTGGCTGAGTAACAAAAATACGAACACCACACAAGGGTTAAGACACCTTACACACATACAATAACAGTAGTCGACGAAAAGGTAAATAACACAAGACTCGTATTCTTTAGTTTTCCTACACGGAAGCAGATTTGGGCCATTAAAACGTCAATCTTCTTCTAATGCATGCTGATTGGTCCATTGGAGTACTCAACCTTGCATATCATCTGTTTCTCTCCCCAACCCTTTAGATCCACACACAGGAAGAATCTGTCTAACAAACCACAGTAAAAGTAATAAGAATATCCGTGCTTTGCTCAAGACAGAATCTCTAACTTTCCCACATGTGGTCTCTTATTGGAATTCCTTTGTCAGTGACATTAACTGGAAAAGAGTATGGACAATTCCTAACAAGTATCTGGTAAAGAATAAAGTGAAGGAAGTCTCATTTAAAATACTGCATAAATTTTATCCTGCTAATCATTACATGATGGAGTTCAAAAGGGACATGAATGTGAACTGTGGATTTAGTGGAAGCCATCCTGAGACTGTGCAGCACCTCTTCTGGATCTGTTCATACGCTGGAACATTTTGGAAAGACTTCAGTAGATTCATTGCTGGACATCTCTACAAAGACTTTACTGTGAAACGGGAAAATGTTGTATTTTGTTTCTTTCGAAGGCTGTGACGTCCCAAATACCAAAACTGTACTCGAGACCGGGAAATAAATAATAATTATTAAATGAATGAATAAATAAATCAATAATGGCGCTAAAAGGCTTCACAGGATCCACCAAATTTGCATTAAAACCCGCGTACAGCACGAAATTTGCATTATTAGGCCACAGCTTGACTGCACCGTTCACCCCGGTGTTTGTAGGAAACAGCGCGTTCACAAAGTATTTTTTTCTGTGCCGTTTTTATTTTATTGCAGTCACCAGGCCCTGAATAACTGTAGTAAAATCAAATTATATTAATAACTCAAACAAGAAAAATGGCACAAACCTCTCAGCGGGTACTGAACCATAAATGTTAAATATTAGAGCACTCACACCTCAGCACATGGTTTTCCTAAGCGGTCTGTGCTTTTCATGATGCCAGGTAATTGCAACATCAAAGGTCTCATTTAGGTGTTTTTGTTGTTGACTTGCCTGGTTCAAGGTTACTTTGAGTCACTGCACCACCTTGTGGTCTAAACGGGTATTACACAAAGCGCATTTCAGCCCCACAACTTCATGTTTTGAACATGAAACTGTAGCAGTTATTTGTTTGAAATTTGTTCATCGCTTTAGTGAATTTGGTTTGAAACTATTTTAAATACATTAATTTACAACAGCTACCTTTTAAAATAAAAATCCATGGTGTTCCTAAGAATGATCATTTGTGACACACATGACACGCATGTGTAGTGTGACACAGATGAGACCCAGATCTTGTAAAATGTATTAATACATCTTTTTAAAATTAACTTCAGATAATGTTTTCTTACATATGTGTCTGCAATATTGTTGTGATTTGGCGCTATATAAATAAAATTGAATTGAATTCAATATGACTGTATGTGGGAGTTATCACGAGGACAAGTTACTACTGAGGGTAAATCTTTTCCCACATGTGTCCCGTGGCCTTCTCACTGATGTGGGTTCTCATCTCGGCTTGTAGTTCAGAGTTACAGCAGAATCTTTTCTGATGTTTTGCGTGAACATCTGATGAGATCTTTGTGGATTTTCATGCAGCATGTTAGTTTATTGCTTTCACCAAATTTCTTTCTCAAAAAATTGCAGAACTATGGCTTCCTGTTTGTGTGGACTCTCTGGGACCTCCTGTTCCAGACTGGAGTTCCTTTCGGGTCATACAGGTGAGAAGTGGGAACTTTCTCTTCCTTACAGGCGTGTTGCTGTGGGAGTTCTTAAATAAATCCCATGTTTCCAAAACACAAAATAAAATAAAAAACGTGAACTCTTGATTTTATTTTGCATCTCATGAGCCAGTTGTAACAGAACACACAATGAATGAAGTGAGTGGAGAAAAGTTATTTTAACTAATTTGTTTCCACAGGGAAACCAGCGTGACACAGACGGATGATATGAGCTCTCCTGCTATGTTTCTTTCTTTGAAATCGCAAAGCTGTGATTCTAGAAGTTCACTGAATTCACAAAAGTTAAAGATTATTTGGAGACATCAAATCATAAACAGAAGGGGCTGTCTCCAAAAAGGTGAGACACAGTGGATGTGATTAGAAAGTGACAGATGTCTCCTCCCTCAGCAGCAGGAATGCCTCAGCAGGCCGACACATGTCCTGCTTTAGTCTCAGTGGATAACAAGCCTCCGACAGTCTGACAGAACAACAGCACTGCTGAGAGGACATGAGAGGATACCGAGGCGTTAAGTACACCTTATTCATCTTCTGCTACTTCTTTTGGGTGAGTCTCTCCCACTTTAAGCAATTTATTGTTTAAAAAAATGTAGCATCATACTTTCATTAGTGCGTGATAGTAGCAAGCCTGTTGCATAATAGTGACTAAATGCCTCAGTTGCACCATAACAGAGGAAGAAGATGAGCTACAAACAGCATTTTAATATTTAATATTAACTCATTTATCCTTCTGATTTTATTTAAATATGTTGGATTTAACAGTGAAGAAAAGCCAGTATCAGAGAAACATGCTCTCTCTCTCTGTTACTGCAGCAGTTTGGATCAGCGAGTTTTTAGGGCAGCTTGATAATAATAAACTACAACAATTGTCCAACCTAGAAGTAATAAATCCATCAGCTACTTTTTCAGCGCCACTCTGAGACAGGATGTTTCCAACTTTAAAGATATTTTGCAAATGCAAGAAAGCAGTCCTACACTGTTTAATGTGCAAATATTTAACAAATCCAACATTGCTGGAAGCCAAGTCAATGCCACCTAAAGTAAGTATCTGGATTCCAAGAGTTTTAGGGCCAGAGTGGCAGCTCCCAGATGGCTAAGCTCCTCATCCTTCCTGTAATGGAAAGGCCAGCCACCCTTTAGAGGACGCTCATTTCCGCTGCTTGTATCCGTGATTTCTTCACCCTTTTCTGGGTGAGGACCATGACCTCAGAGTTGGAGGTTCACCCAGCTGGGAAATTACTGTAGTTTAACTAGCTGGTGTTTGTCATCTGGCTTCATGAATAGAAACTGGGTATCATCTGCATAGCAATACAAATCTATGCTGTGTCTTTAAATGATGCGGATTTCAATCATCAATAATCTCTAGCAGGGGAGGGCTTCTTTCCCATGAAGGCCAGAAAGATGGCGTGTACAGAAAGTAACAAAGGAGGTACTCTGTAAAAATAACCAGTTATTTTTCACATGTCAGGTGTAGAGATGGACATTGCCACCATGCTAGCAGATATCTGCTACTCAGTGCTAAATGACATACAAATAGTAGAACTTCACTCAACAAAACCGGAGCACACACTTCCTGGTCTGTTACCACAACTGAACACTGTTAGTATTTAGCTGTCAGCTAAAGAAGCCACATCTTAACAGTGCAAACTTTATTATAAGATTTAATATATATATTTTTTTCACAGTTATCCAAGTGGCCTTTAGAGGAACTGCAGGTTTTGATGCTTCCACAATGGCTTCGTTTTTCAGCCCTAGAAGCTGTAGCTTGCTCCCGGGCAGGCTTCCAGAAGCTGGTCAATCAAAATGAAAGTGGGCTCTTAGGGAGAGGAGGCCAAAACGGGTTGTTTCACAGAGAGGATGAAGTGAGGGGCTGTGTGAAGGGCCAGGATAACAACCACACTGATACACTTTATATTTAAGACGATGTTTTCCAATAAAACCATCTCTGTTCTGTCAAGTAGTTTTAGAACAGTGTCAGAGATAATCTCCATTTATACTTACATTCTCACCATACACAAAACGGCATGTATGTGCTGGTAAACAGGAAGCAATAGAAAATACTGCAGAGGAAGAACAATAGCAGAAAGTAAGAGCAGAAATGTGTCTTCTTGGACCGATAGTGAGATGGAACGTAAAGCAGGGGAAACTTTGGACTGGGGCCTGTTTCAAAGTAAACATGGTGGCATACTCGGGAGGCACTGCGAGTGTGACATCCATCGCCAGCAGAAGCCACAACAATGTGAAAACAATATGTCAGTTGAACTGCTCTGGTCTAATTTGTGGGACTGATAAGACCCAATCAGGATGCAAATCTAGGTGTTCATGTGGTCATGTCCAAGTGGGCTTCGTCTCATCCAGGCTAAGCCACAGTCACAGAAATGAAAATGATGTTAATTCCAGTGACAGTAGAGCTAGTTACAGCTGTTCCTCTGTTTTAATGAAATCTGCGTTTCTCTGTGACTTTGCAGGTTGTGAGTGCCATACTTACAGCAGTGGGGATCTATGCTAAGATCGCCAGAGAGAAAGGTGGGTTAGTTTAGTCCACTTTGAATTATTGATTTTTTCCTGGCATTATTAAAAAATGAAAGGAATTGAAGCCTCATTTCTCTGCATTTTGTCTGAATGTTATCTTTATTGTGCACAGTCAAGATTGTATGAAGGTTTCTCTCGGCTTTGTTTTGTCTAATTCTCACATATAGATATCTGGTAGCTATCTGTAGATGAGTCATAGGGTGGGTGGAACCAGGCTACGACCTGGACAGGTTGCCAGTCTACTGCAGGTACAACACAGAGTCTGACAACCATTCACACTCAGACTCATACATGTGGCCAATTTCGAATCACCTTCCATGTTTTGGACTGTGGGAGGAAGTTGATCAAGTTGTCATGGAAACAGTGTGAGAGTGTAACGAGTACAGACCCTACCAGTCTCTTGATATGTAAAATATTAATTACTAATGCCAGGGTTATAAAATCTGTCCACACAGTCACTTTGTGAAGATTCAAACTAATTAAGCAAAGATTTGTTTTATGGATTGTGAAAGTCTCCAAGTCGGTGGTCCTGGAAAAACGACTGTATGTATGTCGGGTAATCAAAACAAGGCTTGTTGATCACATTCCTGAGGATGAGCCACAAACTTATTCAGACATGTTTCAACGTTTACTCGCTCTTGTGTTATCACTGATGTTGAGGTGAACCTCTGGAAAACAACTGGGATTTAGACCCGGTCAAAGCACTGAGGCAGACTTTGTGAAGGACTTTTCCAGGATTCCCAAAATGACCTTTTGGGTTCCAGGGTCCATTTTGGAATCAGGTTTAAGTCGGGGTAAGTTCTGCTAACAATAGGTAAGCGAGGACATTTAGCCATGTCTTCACTTTTGGAAAGACCTTAAAAGAGATTTTTCAAGGACTTGGGTTTCGGGTCCGTGTTATGATCATCTTTAAGTCAGGATAAGGGTCCTGGAAATCCATTATATCCACAAACATAGAAGTGCAAACATATACTGTGTGTGTATAGATGTGGTTGACACCCTGACGGTTGATCCCGCTCTACTGTTGATCGTCGTCGGCTCTGTGATGTTCCTCATCACGTTCCTCGGATGTTTCGGGGCGCTGCGTAACACCATCTGCTTGCTGAAGATGGTATGTCAGTGTGCTGGTTTTTATCTTGTTCGGACTCTGGCCGTCTGTTCTAATCAGCTCCTATTTTCATGCAGTTTGTGGGACTCCTGGTGGCCATTTTACTCTTGCAGATCGCAGCTGCATTCGTGGGATACTTTTTCACTGATACGGTAACAAGACGTCGAGAAATCGTACTAAACCGAAGCAGTAAACAAACCAACGTGACAGTTCTCTTGTTTTTCAGGTGATTGAGAGAACTGAGAGGCTGATGATGAAGGCAATTGAACGATACAGGGAGGACCAAGACCTGGAGAACGCCATTGACTTCATCCAGAAGAAGGTGGAGACGAGTTTTAAGAGTCAGTAATCTTTTTTGTTCTTTCTTTTTTACTGTTGTGATGACTGTGCTTCTGCTTCACTGTGATTGCAGTTCCAGTGCTGTGGAGTTGAAAGCTATAAAAACTGGTCCCGTAACGCCTACTTTGAGTGTTCGGACACCAACCCGAGTCTGGAGGCCTGTGGAGTTCCCTTCTCCTGCTGCATTCGCTTGCAGAACCAGGTCAGAACCAGTCAGTGAGCCAGTCCTGGATATGTTTGGGATGCCTCAGGTGTACCAAGGCTGTTCCATTCTTTACTTAAGTAGAAATACAGATACTTGTGTTTAAAAAATACTCTAGTAAAAGCTGAAGTACTGAATCACCTTCTTTACTCAACTAAAGGTGAAAAAGCTCTGAAATGTTCTCAAAGCAAGAAAGTAAAAAGTAGCTCCTAAGGACAGTTCTAGCATGGATGTTTATGCAAAAGCAACTGAACCCTGCGCTGTATTAATATAATAATAATAAAATAATATTATACATGATAATACAAATGTTCAAATCTAAATTCGGTTATGTAGGACACAAGAGTGACTTCTTCAGTTGCCTCAATAATGGCGTCGTTGTAAATGGTAAGTTTTCCTCTTCATCTAAACAGCTGGGAGCGGCTGTAGTGGCTCCACGTGGGGAAAAGAGTCACAGCTAACAATCATTTCTAATGTGAACTCAGATTTTCTTTGTGCTCAGGCTGTGATCAGCTGACCTGCTGGTCTTTGTGGATTTATAATTGAATTTAACAGGATGTAAGCAGATGTTTCATGAGCTGATTTCCCTTTCCTTCACTAACAGTATGCTGTATTTTGTCTTTACACTAAATCAGCGCTCCCCAACATTTTTTGCTCCACAGACGGTTTAATGTCAGAAAATATTTTCACGGACCGGCCTTTAAGGTGTCGCGGATAAATACAACAAAATAAAATGATGCGACCGAGACAAAAACTGTGGTGTTTTGTAAATATAAGAATAAATATTAATTCACTGTGTAACTTTATTAGCAGCGTCCTCCTGAAATGCACCAACAACACTGAGAGTAACATCCTCCTCTCTGCCCCTTAATGCACTCTGGTCGCTATGGTAACGCGTAAATATTTCTTTCAAAATAAGACACAACTGCAACACGAGAAAGACCCAGGGAAACCGAGTTAACGATAAAAACCCTGAAAACCATAAATTTCACACCCGAGCCTCGACCCCCGGGGGTTGGGGACCGCTGCACTAAATCATATACAGTTGGTATAACGGTGGAATTCAGTGAATTAATCTAAGCGTCATCAGCTTAAATGCAAATGAATCTCTGCTACACTTGACGTGACTCAACACTGGCCATGAGAACGACAGCCCCTGTGTTTGTGTGATTTGAAATTATTTGCCACCTAAAGTCGTTCCTCCCTTTATGCTTACTCTTGTCAGTAGCTGCAGATCCTTTAAGGTACACCTTTTAGGTAGCGTCCTTGCTGAGAGCTAGCACTGGAGGCATTCTTAAAAAAGTCAAAGAAGATCACACGAGACACACCTATGGTATCAAATTTAAATGAGATTTTCAGAAAATTTGACGGTCAGAGGTCAAGTTTTCTGAAAATCTTGTGAATACGATTACTCGAGGACAAAATTGCAAAATTGATACCGTAGGTGTGTCTACTCGGAGACTGGGAGGCAGCGCTGGCTGTTTCCAGTTCAGCTCACACCCTGTTTGATGGGCAGGATGAAACAAGATGAGCTGAAACTATTGATACAGGTGAACGTTGAATCCATGCACAAATTAACTTCTTGTCCATGCTGGTGTTCAGTGCATCAAAGCCCTTTTTGTGTTACCTTAAGCAGCTTCTTTCTTTTGCAGACTGTACTGAACACCATGTGTGGTTATGGGATGCAGCAGCTGGAGGAGAAACTGGCCCGTCAAGACATATTCACCATCGGCTGCCTGGATAAAATTGTCTGGTGGGCCAAACACAATCTGCTTCTGGTGGCTGGTCTGACCGCTGGCCTGCTGCTGCTCGAGGTAACACTAGTGAACGTTTGGCTGCAAAAAAACCTCTGAAGTCACTGACAGCAGTTTCTGATCTTTGGTGTGTTTCCTTGAGCAGGTCTGCATGATAGCTTTGGCTGCTGTTCAGATCTGCTGGATAAAAAACGTCCTACAGCGACAGGAAAGAAAAGCAGCTCAAAGCAAATCGCAGAGGAAGGAGAGCCTCTGGTTTCCTCCTTTTGCAGAGTTTGATGATTAATAAAACCCTTTGTTGAGAAAGTGGGGGATGCTGTGTTTACACTGTGAATTTATAGGTTTGAGCTGTGGATTTGAGGTTTGTACAGTGGGTGAACGCATCGATGCTGGGCTCCAGGAGGCAGTTGAAATACTACCTCGTGTAAAGCCCTGAAACTCCGTTTTGTCATTTTTATGTAGCGCTCAGTGTTTCTATTGCTGCCTTTCTACAAAACACAATTTATAATTCACCAAAAAGATCTGAGTTAGTCAAAACATGACATGAACAGATATGTTTTTTATAATGTGAAAATGTTTCATTATCATATCATGTGCAAGCTGTTCTTTGGTCAGTGAAATAAGTCAGTCAGCCTCGTTCTGTCCAGTGTGAAGGCTTGTAAAGCTTAAAGTAAGCATAGTTAATGCTGTGAAAGCCTAATGTATTTCTAAAGCTATCCAAGTACATTTGTCGCTCAGCCCCACTCTCCTGGCTGACTAATCTCCCCGACCTCCCGATGCCTGCGTTGCATGTTTATCAGCCAGGAGACTGAAGTTTGCGTCCTGTTTGTGGGACCTTCTGCAGCCTTTCATCCCACTTGCTGTTTTGTTTTCAGCCGCCTGCACTCAAAGCTACTCGGTTTGGGCTCGTGACTCTGGATACAATGTGACCCTTTACACTGAGGAATGACAAACGCCAAAGGACACCTTGTGCATAACTGAAGCACACCTGCTGCTTTAATAAATATTCATCATGCTGCCCAGCAATGAGAATGACCTGCATTTGACATGGGAAAAGAATGTGTTGGCTGTTTGGGATCTATAAACAAGAAATGAATGAACATTGAAAGAATATTATGTGCTTACAAAACTAACTAAAGTCTTTATTTTGATCTGTGCTTATTTGGTTTCATTTGCCAATAGATCCGGCCTGGGGAAGCTTTGGTGTAAAGAGACTGCAGAGAATGTGTCTGTGATTGTGTTTGTACTGTTTTATTATGAAACTGTTCTGAACCCTTTATATCCTATAATGTGATAAATAAAATACATATTGTGATAGAAATAGATTTTTAAAAAAAGAGCTAAATTAACAAAAACTCTAAAAGCTGTGTTTGTCTGCACGTCTGCTATTAGCTGTTCAAACAGACCAACCTCTCCCGTCAGGTTGCCAATCTATTGCTGGACTAACCCAGAGAGACAAACGTTCACATCTATGGCCAGTTTAGGACAACCAGTTAACCTAACCCCATGCATGTATCTGGAACTCATGCAGACAAACTCCAAACAGAAAGGCCCCAGCTAACCACTGGATTTAAACACCAGGCCTGTGCAGCTTGCCATCCCACTGCCTTACCTAAGTTTTACCATATTACCATAAATTATTATTGTATGAAAAGGCTGCTGCTGAATGACATCAACTATTTCTAAATACCTGCAGAGATGGCGTGCTTACATGCGATTGGGGTGGCTGCAGCTCAGGAGGTAAAGCAAGTCGTTTATTAATTGGTTAGATGGAAAGTACTTACAGTGTAAACTGAACTTTGCTGTTTGCTTTGAGTTTCAACTTAAATATTAACAGAGAGCTCTTGTTTGTGTCTACATTAGGATAAGGGTTGGGTCTCTCAGCAGGGCCAGAGGTGTATATTGTGAAATTATACAACAATACATATCAGGCCATGTTGCAGAGAGAGTAAGCTACTGAAGTACTTTACCAAACCGGAATGAATTATGTGCAATATATTACATTTATGAGTAGAAATTCCAATACTGCTGTGGTTAGTACTCAAACGCTGCTGTGTATCAGTATATTGGTGTTTCCAGATGGTTCTGAGTTTTTCCCTCAGATGGGAGAGTGTGATTGTTGCAGTTTATCTCTAAGATTGAAGCATCCTTGCCTTTAAGTATTAAGCACCTCGAGGTGACTGTTGTTGTGAATAAAATGAAGCTGAACTGACGTGAACCGAATTGGACACAAAATACACTCCTGGAAACAGGTAGTCATGGCAACAAAGACAAAAACAGTGAAACAAGAAAACAGAGAAGGAAGATGTGTGAAAAAGCAGGACACGATCCCCTCTTCTTTTTTTTTTTTAGTGAAAAATGTGTATTTTTAAAATCCTGAATAAGCATAATAAACCTGGTGTGAATACATTCTCACATCAGAGCCTCGTACTTTGATTATTTATCTACTTTCAATATTTTATATTTTCTTTCATTAAAAAAGTTACCACATGTAAAATGATTTTAACTGGTACAAGCAATAAGAATAAAAGTAAATAAAAGTAAAATGTGTGCATTATTCACAGGGTTACATGCAAAACTGTCATTATTTGTACCTTTGTTGTATATGGAGGGTCAGAAGTGGCAAAATGAATTGAAAAAAAAATACATAATTTAATAATTAATTAACTGTGTCAATGATTAATTAAAAATGTAATAAATAAATAATTAATTAAATGTGTCAATAGTTAAATACAATTTGAAATAAATTTTAAAAAGTGTTTTTTAAATGTTTTAGATCAAATGAATGGGCATGTAATTAATTATTGAAATATTTATTCAATTAATCAATTCTAATTTTAATTAATCAATGAAACATTTAATTAATTATTAAATTGTGTATTTAATCAATTCATTTTGTCACTCCTGGCCCTCCACAGTTGTACAGATTAAACATGTTATACAACTGCTGGGGTATAATGACCATCTGAGGTGCTTTTAAAGATTTTGTAAGAAGCTGATTCTGTTATTAGAACATACTCTTTTATAAATGTTCATTCCTGTTTCATACTTTGTAAAACCTGCACTGACTCTATTCCACACTGGTGTTTCCAACCAACCAATGATCTGATTGGACTGGATTCAGTCCTTCGTGCATTTCAGTCTCTGTTCCTCTAGTGCCCCCTGCAGGCTGCATTGTAAATTCAAAACTTGGACAGCAATCACACCAGTGACCAATCTCGTTATCTTGCTAGAAGTCTCATCCTGAGTTACAGAATTGCAACAAGGCTTGGCATCTTTTAATTTCATTTAATTATTGCTAAGCTAAAACCTCTGAACATCAGGTCATTTTACAACGTGCCCATCTGCTCTGAAAGATTTGCATGCTAAGTAAAACTTACAAAGCTAAGAGACCCCCCTGGTAAACCTGCCTAATCCCTGTGGTTCTTCCCAAACTAATTAAGTCTTCATAGTACCTTTAATCTGTGGTGGATTATTAGCTAAGGCACCTGCAGTTGCATGTCGTTGGACGGATTCAGTCCCGTGGCTCTCACACTTGCTTTACTGGATTAATGACTGCAGTGCTTTGTGCAGGTAAAAATAACTGCAGTATCGAGCTGCAGCAATGACGTCCCTTTACTGTCCAACCTGCACACTAAAAAACTGCAATTACTATCAGTGTTCTACTAAAAGCCATAATTCATTGTACACCGGCTGGCCACTTTATTAGGTATACTGTTATATATACTGCAATCATATGGCAGCAAAGCAATGCAGTGTTGTTTAAATGCCACAGCCTACCTTGGTTTTGTTGTCACTCATGGCATGTCTTTATGACCACAGTGTATTCATCTTAAGTTCAGCACAAAAACAAAGGAAAAATTGCATTTGGTGAATTGTTTATTTATTGTAACAATGCTTAGATCATTGAATCCTGTTTATTTCCCCTTGAAATATGCTACATTTGTAAGAAAAATCCACTGGTGGGTTGAGCAGCAGAGTTGAGTGGGCTGCACCCATGAAAAACTTCCATTGCCAAACAGATTATTCTGCTGTGGAGTTGATTGTGACTTTTGTGGTTTATTGAATTAGATGATTGAAATCTGCAGAAACAAGCAATTTAACAATTCATTTATTTGATAAACTGTGGCCTCAGTAGCGTGTGGAAGAACACACAGGCACAGCAGCCTGGCACCTCCTCATGCTGCTCACCAGCATGGTCATAAAGATGGCATCCCATTCTTCAATCAGCATTTACTGTAAATCAGCTGTTGTGTTTGAGTAAGCTGTTTGACATTAGCAGATAAATATTTGGCAAGTTTTCCATTGCTGCATTTTTCAATCTGCCACAAAGTGATTCTGGCACACTGTCGGGCAACTTAGTAAGAGAAAGCAGTCCTCTACTCACACAGTATAGTCGTGTCCAAATTCATGGGCTGCATCCTCCTGAGGACCCGGCCTTTGTGGTCTACGTGGGCCTCAGAAGGTCGGGTAGGCCGGAAGTAAACGGCCGTGAAATTGGACGGTCTAGCCTTCAGATTAGCGTCACCGCTGTCTCGGTGGAGTTTAATAAACTCGGCTGTCTGCTGCTTGCTATCTAAAATATAACAGGACACTGGAGTAAACGCTCGACCGTCTCACACTTCTGTTTAATCAGTTTTCTGTTTGACTTTATTCAGTTGTGCGAAAACCACCCGGGGGATTAATAAAGTTTTATTTTATCTAATCTAATAACTTTAATCTCAGCCAAACTGATTTACTCGCGAACAAATAAAACACTGAAAAAAGCCCAACAATAACATTTTAGGTTGTCTAAGTGACTTATATATTACGTTTAAACAGAGTAGCCAAAGTCCGCAGCGATCTGAAAATGATGTGCCAGGAGTTGTGCCGTTCTCGGCGGCTTCAGTGACCCTCGAGCTCCCGGCTCGCTATCGAGCTGGTGGGTAACAGACGTCTCCGAAAACATCGAAGCACTTTTGCAAATATGTGGTGTCTTGATAAACCGAGCAGATATTTGATGTTTACACAGCAACTTTCTCGCCTGAAAATATGTTAAAAGTTTATTTTGTGACCCAGAAAGATTAATAAGAGTCATTTTAAAACTTAGTAGCGGCCACCATTGCCGGAAACTGAAGTTTGGCTGGGCCATGCTATGAATTCTGGGATATGATGGGCCACAAAGGACACACCCGACCCATCCTTCAAATTCGGGGAAAAGGAGGACGCATTTGTCGGCTGCATTCGGAGGAGTCTACAAATTTGGACAGCCTTCGGCGCGTCGCTGCGACGTAATCGGTCTACAAACGCGGCCTCAGGAGGACGCAGCCCATGAATTTGGACACGACCTGTATAGTGTGAGTGGGGTCCTGCTGACTTCATCATTAGTCTAACCTCAGATTCAGGAGAAACATTATGGTTTTTATCCTGGTTACAGAATGCTGGATCAGGTCTCTCTCCTTTCAAAGATATTTGAAGGTGCATCTGGGTTCTCATGGGTTTTGTGAACTTGGTGAAGAGAAGGTGATCAGTTGCATCCCTCCTTTGTGAGGTGCTTTGGCTGTGTGGGTTGTCTGACTTGTTCCCAGAGCTTGGGCCGCATTGTCAACAATAAGTTGGACAATAAGTATTGGGTTAGGGTTAGGGTAGGACTCTGCCACGGCTGCCGTTCGTCACCAAGTTTATAATTTTTATGAACAAAATAAAAGGTAATTGTGTCCCTACGCTCACCTACGGTCACAAGTTGTGGGTAGTGACTGGAAGAAGGACATTGTAGATACTAAAAGGTGGAGATGAGTTTTCTTCAAAGGGTGGCTGGCCTTTCTATAGCCCTTTTCCACTAGTACCTACTGGGCCCGGCGTGACTCAATTCTTTTTTTAGGGCTTTCCATTATTTGGTAGCACCTGGTACCAGGTACCTTTTTAGTACCTACTGCTCTGGGTTCCAAGTGAAGCACGCCACTGAAAATGTGACGTCAACAGACTGCATACTGCCGATAGGTCAGTCAGTGGCACGAAGGAGCAGCTCCTTCACAAAAATCAAAACTGCCCTTTTTGAAAGCACAGGAGACAAATGGCTTCACACAAAGCAACATGTCAGTGCACACGTTTACCACGTTTAGCAGCAGGTATAGCACCTTCTCAATGTTTTCATTTGCTGTGTTGTTTGTGTTACATACAAATGACATCACTGGACTTTCAGCGCCATAGCTATAACGGCCCAATGCACTCTGAGGCTGCACTCGCTCTGCTAGGACGCTGTCCCTGTAACCTGATCCTGAACAAGTCAAAAAAGATGGATGGAGGTCAAGTTCTGCAAGTTTGGAAGTTCTGGCTTTCCATTCATTGCAGGATATTTTTGACTCACTTTGACATATGTACAGAAATATCCTCATGAAAAAGAATTTCTGTATATATTAACATGTATTTATTTTAAAAAACAAACAAACATAAATGACAAATAACACACCATGTAAAAAAACACAAGTGTCATACAACAAGATGCATTTTGATGAAGACAAAATTTCAGTAAAACGTCAGTAAAAGTTGAAAATGCTAGCGTTTGTTGGGCTGATGGTGTGTGTTGGCAGAAGAACATTGAGGTTAACAGTATTTACAGTTGTGGTCTGAAGTTTACATTCACTCACCAAGGGCATTATTGCCATGGTAACACTGAGCTTTTAATGGTTTTTAGTGCTGTTCTTTTCCCAGAGTGGAATAATTGAACATTATACCTTTAATGACTTGAAAAAAATCATAATTGGGTCTAGATCAGGGGTGGGCAATCCCAGTCCACGAGGGCCGGTGTCCTGCAGGTTTTAGATGTGTCCTTGAACCAACACAGCTGATTTAAATGGCTAAATTAGCTCCTCAACATGTCCTGAAGTTCTCCAGAGGCCTGGTAACGAACTAATCATGTGATTCAGGTGTGTTGACCCAAGGTGAGATCTAAAACCTGCAGGACACCGGCCCTCGAGGACTGAGATTGCCCACCCCTGGCCTCGATGTTTATATATAGAATCAATACTGTATATACATGTACTAACTTAGTTCCTTAAGTTACTGGTGCTGGATTTATCCCTATGATGTATTGTATGTAACTTCTTACCACAACTGTAGATTAAGGCAGGTCCACATTTTCACATTTAACTCAAACAAACAAACAAACAAACAAACAAACAAACAAACAAACAAACAAACAAACAAACAAACAAACAAACAAACAAAAAGCTACTTTAAAACAGAGACATTCAGGGGCACTTCAAGCAGTTTAAAGAGCTGTATCTCAACCACTGAACATCAACTCATGCAGCATACAAATCTTTAATCTTTCCTTTAATTTCTCCATCTCACTTTTAGCCCTGAAGATAAATAGTCAATATTTCATTCTATTTTTATTTTCAGTACAGACTCCCAAACTCAAGGTAATATACACAGCTAAGAAGTACTGGAAAGGTTAGAAAAGTACATAATTAGAAAACATTAATAACACTATTGTTGTGTCAGAATTTCCAGGGATCCATATTGTTTAGATTGATGAATTTCTGACATTCGGACCTGGAAATATTATTGTGAAGATAAACACAACAACAAACACAACATGCAACTGACAACGTTGTGCTCTCAGAATACCAATTTCTACATACCAGTTACTTATTGTTATGCTTTTAATTTAATATAGACATATGTATTTTATAGAGTTGGGTGTTTTGAAACGTGTTGATTGTTGTGCTGAGACGTAACTTTTACGTTAAAGGCAGTTATTCTCCATATCTGCCTTGTGTTGCAGTGTTTACAGTTTGACTACCATCTGGTGAGTAGCTTTTGAGTGTTTGCATATAATCTCATGTCTTACATGCAAACTATGGGTAACAAACTATGGGTAATCTGCTAGCAACCAAAGCCATCACAAGGAGGCTTTTGGTACAGCACCCTCTTGAGTTGACTGGAGCAGATGGAGATCCAACTACCAACCTTTCAATTTGTAGCTGACATCCAAATTTTTCCCTTGCAACTGTTGGTTGCATCTTGAGCTACATAAGCATGACGTCACTCAGCACGTAGCCAGTATTGGTATCTTCATCACGCCAACTCAGATGACATGAGTTGTTGTATTACATAGAAGACATATAGCACATACAGTACATCTTAGTGGTTCAGAAAAGCCTTGTCAACTGTTTTGTCACTGAGGATGGAGTGTGAACATCAGCTATGCACAAACCTGAGCCCCATAATGCTGATTTTGCTATAGATTATGCAGAGCTCCTTTCAGTAATCCTTACAAGTGAATTAGTAAATTGAGAGCACTTCTTTGTGGTGTGCTCTTCAGATCTCCTGGCCTTAACAGAAAGTTGGTTTTGTGGCTCCAGAGGCTCCTGATAAATCACTGAAAGTAACCAATTCTGAATGTTTAGCAGACCCAGAATTAAATTAAAATCTGTTCACATTAGCTGCAACTGTCATCGACAAAATTCCACAAATCCACACAGCACTTTGTTTACCTTTGCAATATTCAAGTGAAAAAACAAAAAACAAAAAGAAGAAAATAATGCACCTCGACTTTGCATGAAGTCAGTGAGAACGCATGCCAGCATGCTACTGTATACAAAGGAATCAGAAGAAGGTTGACTCTACAAGAGGAAGAGCACTTGAATTCGTTCATTACACTTTAACCCTTCACCCAGTGTGCACCGAGCATCAGCCAATCAGATCACAGTCCAGTGTCTTGCCAGTGGAAACAGCTCCATGTTTCCACTGGCAACATCAGGAATTGGATTTCTTATATGAAACCGGAATGAAATGAACTTCTCCTGAAAGGAAAACTCATTTTACCTGCAGTTACAAACAATAATAATAAAAACAATAGTTTGACATTTAGGTGGCTTTAATTCGTGACATGTGATACCCAGTCATTCTAACCACATGGTGGCTATGATCAGCACAGCAACACAAACCCATTTATTTCAGCCACAGTGGACCAAAATAAGCCGATGCAATAAAGCCTGCAATTCCTGTAGCTGGAGGGCTTCTTTTAAAGGGACCCTATCTGCTTTTTCTTGTTTTCTGTCCTGCATTCACTGCTGCAGTCTCTGATGTTATTAAATGTAAAAGTAATCCCAGTGAACAAAAAGTGCCAGCTTCAGACTGCTCTGTGCTGTTCATGAGCACTGGGTGCTGCCCCTCTGCAGGCTTCCAGAAAGTGCCTAATCAGATGAACGTGGGCTTATGCCCAGGCCTGAAAGAGACAGGAGCTTTTTTGAGACAACAGATGAGTTGAGGGGTTGCTGGAGTGCTGAAAATGAGAACAATAGAGGCTGCTGAAATGTGTTACCTCACACATTTCTTGTCCTTAATGAGCAAGAGAAGCTCCGAAATAAGCAGTCCAGTTTTGGCCACCTCCACCTCAAGTTAGCTTAATCAAGCTGACACCAAAAAGGAGGTTCCTGTATAGAATTAATCTCTTCTTAACAATCCTGTTCAGATGGCACTATGAGGTCTCACAGACCCAGTTGGACCTTTGCAAGGTGAGTTGCTCCACTCTCTCCATTCACACCTGGCAGATGTTGTAGTAGACTGTGTGTGCATTCATCTGGCTCACCGAGTCACCGGTCAAATCGAACGTGCAGTCTTTGTGTGTGTGCATCTCCGTCATTGGCACATCGACCGTGTTGGAGTTTTTGTGCGGAGTCTGTGTCCCGTAGGACGGCGCAGGCTGCAGATGAAGTGCAAAAACATGTTAGCCTCTTACTGCAGCAAGATCAGCATGCTTAATCAGCAAACTAGCTACGACCAGTTAGCCCCTGCTTTGAGATTCATTGCTAATCTAGATTAACTAACTTCAACTTCATTCAGAACACAGAAAAGAACATCTGCCTTCTCACAAAGAGGTGTTTGAAGCAACAAAACAACTCAAGAAATGTTGATCAGTGCTGGTAAGTTGACAGAAACAGCTTCTGGTGTGCTATTAACAGACTGTTCTTCCTGGCAACATGGAGCACTGAGTTCAGTAGATATGGGAGGAGCTAGTCTGAGGCTCAGGATGACAGCAGGAGCTTTAATCCTTTGTAGTTGTTGGTCCAATCTGAACACACCTACTGCTGTAATCGTATTATGTCCATAGACATGAATGAAGTAACAGGTCACAGGCTCAGGTTTATAGTCATCAGGTACATACAGAGATATGTGGTCAGTAAAGTTGGTCATATAAAGACGGTCATATAAATGGAACATGTCCCAAACCCTCTAATAAAGGTAAAAATCCCATAAATACAACGATGAGACACAAATGTTTTTGAATTTGCTGATGAGTTGAGTAAATTTGATGTTGGGAGTTTTTAAGTATTTTCTATTCAAAACAAACTCGAAACAGTTTGCACATCACTACGTTCTGTTAAATTACCCTATTACACAGCATTTCTTTTAAATTAATCTTTTTTAGAAACAGGATCATACTAATGTACAGTTGTGGTCAAAGGTTTACATCCGCTAATCACAAGAAAAAATTTCATGGTCATTTTGGGCTTTCTGTTAATTCTTTGAACTGTCCTTGTACAGCATCCATCTTTCAGCCTTGGATTATCTCTAACATTAGGCCAGTACAAGAAGAAACAGGCCCAGCCTGATATATGTACATATGATCACTGAAATACTTTAATAAGAGGTGCTGAATGTTCGACAGTGTCTTTTGACTTGACAAGGCCAAGGTCTACAAACTTCTCACATGATAAACATGATTTGTAGTTTTTGCTGGACAGCACTCACTGGACTGACCAATTCTTCCAAGAGGAGTGATACTTTGCCATTGTTCATAGCATCGGTCAATTCAAAGAGTGCTGTCAAGCAAATCCTTTCATGCTGGCAAATAGAAACTACCAGGTGTAATCGATCATGGTTTTACCTTTCCTGCTGTGCTCAGGGGAAAGTCTTTCCGACAGAGGTGCGCAATGATTCCTGCTGCAAGGGCGTCACCAAGAACGTTGATCATGGTACGAAACCTGTCACTGCAGAGAGAAGGAAAGACAAAATGCCACAAGACCACCTCACCAAGGACTGATTCCAGCCTTTGAAACCTGTGATTTTCCATAATCAGCACTTACAGGATCCAATCAATGGCTACGATTAGTGTGATGTCATCTGGTGGCAGGCCTACTGATGTGAGTACGATTACCATGGTAACCAGACCAGCCTGAGGAATCCCAGCTGCTCCAATGCTGGCGGCTGTAGCTGTGATACTGGAAGACGGGGAGACATGAGGAGAGTTAGAGATCAAAACTGAAAGAAATGAGCAGACAGCAGGCTTCTTCAATGTTTATTATGTATTTTCATAAAGTTTTAAAAGGCTCCACTGGCTACAGGAGAGTATAATCTGTGTCTCCCATGCACACAGACTGGTTCTGTACAGATAAAGTGAAAGTAACTGTTTGTCTCATTTTACCTGATGGTGACCAATTGGCCAAAGTCCAGCTCGTAGTCATTAACCTGAGCAATAAAGATGGCTGCCACTGCCTCATAGAGAGCTGTGCCATCCATGTTGATAGTGGCACCCACTGGGAGAACAAAACGAGCGATCTGCCGGTCCACATGACAGTTTTCCAGCAAACACTTCATGGTGATAGGCAGTGTGGCAGAGCTGTGGACAGGTGGCATTCAAACAAAAGATTAATAGGCCCATATTCTGTTTCGTATCTTCACTCCTCAGTTAGGGTTTAGCATATTTGCTATGAACCTTTCCAGGACTAACTAACTGAAGCGTAGGAAGCAGGTTAAAGTAGGGCTGACCTGGAGGAGGTTGCCAGGGCGATGACCAAGGCCTGCAGGAGGCCACGGATATAGCTGAAGGGGTTCTTCCTGGTGAGAAGGAAGTAGAAGAGAGGAAGGAGGACAAGTCCATGAACAAAGAGCCCGGTGAGCACAGTAACGCCGTACCAGCCCAACTTCTTCCCCAGAGTGCTCGGATCCTGCATGTCCAGGATCTTCCCCGCCACCAAAAAGATAATCCCAAATGGAAAATACCTGGAAGAACAGAACACCATTATGAATCCTATAAGAGCTAAACGTGAAGTTTGTCTCTGAAGCTTAAGGCAAAACTTAAATGTTTTACATTCATTCCTTTCATGTTCATTTCACATATTTTTCATATATACCTTGTTCTTGAGTGGAGTTCAGATATCATTAGTTTATTTAGAATTATGAACATAGATTTCTTGAAGTCCACTGAGCATTATTTTAGAAAATTTGATCGGCAAGAAAGAGTTACTATATTAAAATAACTCGCAAAATATTTTTCAATTTAAAAAATGTAGAAAAAACAGCCTCTCCCATTTAAGATCATCTTCTCAGGAACCTCGTGACTGTTCTTCTCCCATTTTTTGATCATTCCTTAGAAGTCCTGTTATGTTGGGTGAGAATGGTTCTGGTTGCGTGTGCTCTCACCAACAGTAGCATTCTTTGAGGGTTGATTCAGACTTAGGTGTATACATGCATACAGAATAAAACCTGTAGAGCTGCATCTGTTTGTGTTGAGCGTTCAGGTTTTAAAGCCTTGCTACAGTTTTAAATCTCCTCGTATTTGGTATTTGTCTTGACAGTTGACACATATGAACACAAAAACACAGCCAGTTAAGAATATAATAAAGAAAATATACACAATGCGTGTTGTTGTGACTATTTTCCACCCAGTGGGATTTGTTTTTGTGGTTTAGTTTAATTAAGCTCACCTTTGTTGGGAGAGTGAGATTCATTTTCAGTAATGTGAATACCAGTACAGTCAAATGAATCAGTCACTACAAGCTTTCATGGCTCATTTACAAAGCCAACCATGCACTTTTGATTCAAACACAGGTGTAGAAAGCTGCAATTGTAACATAGGCTCTGCATGGCATTGTTCAACCCCTCAAATTCAAACTGAGAGTCTGCACATCAGTTTGTCTTTGATTGTCAATTTGAAGTTATTGTGGGGGTAAACAGATCCCTAGCTGTATGACTGTACTCTGAGTTTTCATCTCACCAAACAGCAGCGTTGATGATCTTCATGACACACTCGTTGATGCACTGACAGACATTGATCAGTGGGACTCCTCGCTCTCCCATCCTGCCCAGCAACAAACCTGCAGCACACATAAACACTGATTATGCTTGCGTTTCTATGCAAGCTTCAGCTCTGTAAATGTTATCACAGACTTTGCCCATAAATGAGGGACGTCTGGAATGGTGGGAAAACCATCACAGACTGTGGAGAAGGCAAACGAACTCAACAACTTCTTCAACAGGTTTGACCAGCACACAACCCCCCCACCCTCACCTTTACCTACAGAGCCCTCTCCCCACTCTCCTACCTCCCTCGCTTCCCCCCCTTCCTGGCACTATGACACACCAACTCTGAATTATGCCACATTCAGAAGTTTGCAGACGACACGGCCATCATGGGGTGTATCTGGGATGATCGGAAAGAGGAGTACAGCAGTGTGGTGAGGAACTTCGTCACATGGAGTCACACAGACCACCTGCAACTCAACACCTCAAAGACTTAGGTGTGGACTTCGGGAGGTCCAGAGCAGGGCCACTGCCAGTTCAGAGGGGGAGGAGGTGGAGGTGGTCAACAAGTACAAGTACCTCGGGCTGTTTTTTGCACCTGTACAAAGAAGCCCAAAGCCGACTGTACTTCCTCAGGAGGCTGAGGTCTTTTAACATCTGCAGGAAGCTCCTGAGGATGTTTTACCAGTC